TGAACATTAGAGAGATCATTTTCGATTACATGAAGCATGCAGCAAAGCTTAGTCGACCAAATTATGCCTTCCTAAACCTTATCATGGACATCTGTAAAAAGGAAAGGGTGACATCTTATCCTGATGAGATAACCATTCATGCAGCGCCGATTCTTAATGCGACATTCTACTATAAGCTGGCTGGAAAATAGAGTGGTAGAGCATCGAGTACAGGTACAAGTGTTCAACGATTGAGAGCAACTGCAACCACATCCAAACCGACAGTAAATGATCAATTGCAGCAACTCCAATCTAAGATGAAGACAACGAAGCTGCAACAAGCATGGATGAGTGATCAAATGAAGAAGATGTTCGAGATGCAGCAACATGTCTACAACCTTCAGGGTTATGATGTAACACAATTCCAATGGCAAGATTGGAATGCATACAGTGAACAACACCCTGAAGATGCCATGGAAGAACATGAGGAGGCAGATGAAGAAGAAGCAGAAGAAGATTGATTCCTGAAACACCTTTGTTTTAGTTTTAGTTTTTATTTCTTTTTATGTTGTTAATTGGAACTGAAGATGATTTCCTGTTTTTAACTCTTTATGTGTGTTTGTTTCAATTTTAGGTTTAGTTCAATAAGGTTGAGATCAATATGTAATTCTTTCATATTAATCAGTGAAGATATCTAACACAATTGGCAACCTAGATTTTCATGTGTTTGACAGATAAGGATGATGAGGAAGCCCCCCAGGATTTTGCACAAGAATCAGCCTTTACAGATTAATCAAGGGAGTATCTCTTAAATTTTGTTTTTCTACTCCTTAGATGTGCATGATGTGACATTGGGGACAATGTCATTCTAAGTTGGGGGTAGAAGAAATTTCGATCTAAAAAAACAAAAAAAAATTTGTGTTTAGATAGTTGTGTGTTTTAGCTTGAATTTGTATTTCTTTTTTTTTTAAGTTCTTTGATCGTTATTGTGTTTAGTTTATCTTTGTTTGTGTTTTGTTATTGTTCCATGGATAAATTGCACAAGTCTATGATGAGATGTTGATTGTTGGGATACTATCGGAAAATGAGAAGCATTGCTTCAAGTTAGGTTGGTTGACTAGATTGATCTAGAAGTTTGTTGAGTGGTTCAACCACCATTTTCATTCTTTTGGCATGTTTAGATTCATTTTATGTGGTTAGGTGAAATCTTGATAATGTTGGTAGACTCTAGAACCTAGTTGAGAAGTGCTTGAGGCCAAATTCTAGGATTAGACATTGTTGAGGAAATGATTTAGGCAATTTTTCGAAACATTTGAGCCTTTCTAGCCAACCCATGAATGAATTATCCCTAGTCACCCATTTGAGCCTTATAAGGTTATCATTGCTTTATTTTTCTTGCAAACCAAAAAAAAAAATTGTCCAATCTCTATACCCTAAACACTTGATCATACCCTTTAGGAGAATTATAGACCTAATGTATAACACAACAGAGCTTGGAGAGGTGTGTGAATAAGTGATGGACCAAAAGCATAAGTTTGGGTTGTAAAAAGGGTAGGAAGAAGGGGCAATAGACCTCAATGGTGTTATAATAGTTGTTTATAAAAAAATAAAAAAAATAAAAATTTAAAAATATTTCTTTAGTTCAATTCAAAATCAAGAATAAGAAATGCACAAGTTTGAGGGTTGTAAAATGGTTGACACTTTGATTGGTGGTAAAGAAAGAAAGTGGAGATTGATGTAGCTCTTAGTGTTTGCATGAGGAAAACCGAGTTCTCTTACTTTGTTTTTCCTATCCTTTCCCTAGAGTCTACTACTCGAGCATAACGTTACAAGCTTGCAAAGACCTTTCGATCCTTAGTGATGTCTAGTCCACATTAGTGGAGAGTTGTTCGATACTTAGGCTTATGGAGTCTACCACCATTTGATAAACTTCACATTCCTGCATAAAATAATTTGAGGAGTCAAAAGGTGAATTGAAGTGGGGATCACCAACTGAGGGGACCGATAGAGAAAAATAGTCAATTCAATTATGACTTCTTGGAGTGTTGAGTATTTTCCCGTAATAGTATTTCAACAGTTTTTTAGATTTGCATTTTAAATCAATTCCAGGTTACTTGTCTATTTTTTGTAGTTTTCCTCTTTGGTCATTTTGGTTTAAGTTTGTTTTTCCTTACGTTTGTTTTGTTGTTTTTGTTGTTGATGCTAGAGGACGAGCATATCTTAAGTTTGGAGGTATTTGATAATCCGTGGATTATACTGTTTTTCTTTGCTATTTGGTAGGATTTTAAGATACTTTCCTTTGCTTATAGTCTCGAACTACTACTTTATTTGTTCATTTCATATTTCAGGTCGGAAACACATATCCAGATTGAAACGGAGCAAAAACGAGGTCAATCGATTCAAACTCGAGAGTTTTCACAGTCAGGAATGTTCGAAGGTTGATTGGAATCACCCTTGAAGCTTAAATGAAAGAGAAGGAAAGAGAAAGCCGGAGATTCAAGCGTTGGAGCATGCAAGGGTAGTTTTGTGATTTCAACTATTTGAAGACAAGGTTTTGCCGCGGCATGAAATTCGCGGGTTAACTTGGCATTTTAAAGTTTCGTCGCGATGCCGCGGCGAATCCTGGAGTTATTTGTTTTGTAAAAACGGTGCGTTGCAGAGTTTTAGTCTTAAATCCTAGGGTTTTGGCCGATTATTTAAGAGAGCCTTAGCTCATTTTGTAAGGGAGTTGGAGATTGTTAGTGAAGAAAAGGAAGAAATTGGAGATTGGAAGCATTTTGGGTCTTCAATTAGGGAAGATTTCATTCTTTTCTTATTGTTTTAGTATGTTGGGCTGTTTATTTACAGTCAATATTCCGATTTTCTTTAATTTGAATATAAACTAACTCACTTTTGGGTTAGGGTTTTGATCTAACTTGGATTACAATGGTTTAATCTATAAATAGATGTTGTTTTTAAGTTTCATTGCTTGGATTATGTATTTATTCTTGTTCTTAATGCAATTGAATGTTGAGTTTTCTTTGGTTCAATTAAATGTTGAGCATGATGAGATTGAGAAGTGATTCATGTGTTAGCCCCTCATAGTAAATACCATAGATTGAATGAACGCTAGAGATAGATTCGGAGATCTATGAAATCACTTTAGGATTCCACTTGGCTTAATAAACTTAGAACTGTTATTCTTCATTTTGTTGGGTGCGGGAGCTTAATAGAGATAAGTAGGAGAATATAGCCTAAGAAGGTATATTTTGTAGATTAGGGTGTTTGATTTATAATCCTTGCATGTGAGTTTGAAGGCAACAGCAACCGTAGATTGAATCAGAGTATCCTAGTGAAGTCGAAATCCTAACCTCTTTGTCTTGATTTGATATTTTCGTAATTAATTGATATTTTCTTAATTAATTAGATTTTAATTTACGTTATTGATTTTGTGTTAATTTCTGCTTTTAATGTCTCCCGAAATCCAACAATCTTCGTGTTCTTCAACTAGTTACAAAACTAGGAAAATTAGTACCTAACACGCAATCCTCGTGGGAACGATACTCTTCTCATCATTTTATTACTTTTTGCGACTATTACACTTACTACATTACATGTTTGTCAAAATAGGCATTAAAAATATCGGCAGGATCTGATGGGATGTAACAAGCAGCATCTCTAATGTATTTCCCAGTATCACTTCCCAAAAGTACATCAACAAGGGAACTGAGCATCAGACACTCTCCACTTTAACTTTTCTGAAGGAAATAATCCTAGACATCCAAATGACAAATTGAACCAAGAATATTCGTGGCTTGCATATCAGAATCCTGAATCATTATAAAGTGAAAAGTTTCCAACACCCCTAGCATAATTTCCTCATTTATTTCATGGATGGCCTTTACAAACCAGGGTTATAAATGAGATGTACACAGATTGATGGAAATTGCTTTCAAAAAGCATCATTTCCATCAACTTAAAAATCGAACCTCCCTATAGTTGATGGCGCACTAAAATTTCTTATAGGAGCAAAATGCTTCTCAGCCTTAATTGATCTACGAAGACACTCAAAGGAATTTTGTCATAACTCCAGAAAATCCTTCATGGCATATGAGAAGCAAAAACTATAATTGTCAAAATCAAATGATTTCAGCAATCAAGGTGAAGACATTTTATTACTGCGTAGGATACTTCACTCCTCATTGGATTTCGGCTTTCATTATGCCTTGATGTTTTACTTATGTAACTTCATCTTATTTAATTTACTACTATAATTTCGAGTTAAGGCTTATTTGACATGACACAAATAACACACTAACCTGTTTTCCCAACCATACTTCTCCCTACATCTAGATGTTACTTTCAAACCCATTTTCCTCTTTGCTCTTTATTTTCCCAATAGGATAATGTATGACTAGGGTTTTAGAAGCCTAATTTTTTTAATTCTAATTCCATCCCCAAACTTGTCTGGGCAGACTAGTTGTGGTTTAGAAATGATCCATAGGTAGAAAATAGATAGATGTAAGAAGACGAGGCCACAAGCTTCTTGTTTCATGGGCTCCATGACCCAAAGTGGGACAATAAACATACTTCTCTCATCTACTTCAACATTGCTCCCCATCCTCTTGACACTCAAACCAAACAAATAAATGACCTCTATTTTCTTAACATCTTGCTATTCTCCCTTTGTCTCTACAACTTTGGTCCCACCATATCCATTACACCTTTGCTGAAACCCTTATTTTATTTACCAGCAATACATGTAATAAAAAATGTGAAAGCTAGTTCAATTTGGGTTGCCTATAAGATAAGTTGGAAAAGGATATGTTCCAGCAAATACAGAAGAATAAACAATATAATAATTCATTCAATTATAATGAACTACAAAATCTGAAATTGAAAATAAAAATTCACAGTAAGAGAACCAACCAAGACATTGATCCTCACAATTGGGATGAACATATAAAAAATGCAACAATTTTGAAGCTATATAACAGAACTATATAGTAATACATACACTGATTTTCTGATGAGTTCCATCTCTATATATTGCATTGATCATAACCAGAGAACCATGATGAGGGTTCTGCAAGTTTCGATAACTCGCTGTCTTCAGTATAAAATAGCTTGAATTCCTCTCTCCATTGCTGATCACCTTCATCATGAGGCTCCTTTACATTGTACTTGGCCGCATCAGAATCATTATAAATAGGTTGTATTGCTTCTTTGGGTAGACAAGGCTCTACTATGATTTCATTAAGAGTCCTAATATCAATTTCATGTTTTTTCTTCAATTGATCAATCTGTTTGTATGCCTTTGCAGTTTCTTGTTCAGCTTCTATAGCTCGCTTCTGCCAAAAAGAAATATAGAAAAAAGTATAAAATAAAATGTATCATTTAGAAATCAAACAAAAACTAAAGGATCTAAATCAATTTACAACAAATGTATATGAGAATGAGCAAAGATCAGTTAGCTTTCTCTCAAGTGAGGATTCTATTCATGACTGCCAAAAATCCTACATGTTCTAAAATCTATGTCACTCTCACGGAGACAAATGAGTGGCCTTAAAACAAAAACATAGTGTGCTCAAAAATAGTACGGGAAAAATAACTATCCTAATCAAACAAAGGAATAATGTGCTCTCTACCTCAGTCCAGTGGATTCTTTCTCATTCAAGTTTCTCCTCAGCACTCTTTTCGGCTGACTCTGGGATTGTAGTCAGAGGTGGTGCTAGATTGGGATCACATGAATAAGTCAATTGCAAAATTGAGTTTTGTTTTCAAGCAGATAATGAAGAAGAGTCTATAAAATATTGCAACTCGCTTCTTAAATCTTGAATCCCTTCCAACAACACTTCCCTTTCATCCAAATCACAGAAATTCTGAAAATGTTCCAGTTGCTCTTGAGCTATATTGAGTTTAATTTTTGTCCTTAAAATTTCAGGATGATTCTCAAATTTTTCTTTCAGAAGCTGTAAAAAATAAGGTCAGATATATGCACAAAATATTAATTAATGTTATCTTTAGAAATAAATTTATACTTTGGTAAGTAACCATTCTACCTCAAAGCTTAAGTTCATAAGTAACAACCTAGTAAAAGTATTTAAAAGCTACAATAATACCCGTCACGTATCTCATAGTGAAATGGATGCAAACACAGATGCAAACTAAATAAATATACAATTACATATGAAAAATGAAAACATGTAAAACTTGTAGGGATTTGAAAGTGAGTGTTTAGCTTTACTACTATGTTAAGTAGATTTGTAACCAAAAACTTAGGCTAATATATTTTTTAGCTCTAACATACCTTACGCTCATGCATGAGGTATACAAATTCTTCTTCGATGAACTCCTCAGTTGGCAAAACACCATCCATAAGGCTTTCAAGGCGCATAATTTTATCCTCCCTTGTCTGTCCTATAATGGTATTGTATTCTCTCTCATGCTTGTACTGTTGCACCTGCAAAGAAAAGCAGAAAAATGTCACCAATGAAAAAACAAAAAAAGAAGAAAAAGAAAGCATTATATAGTCATTGCTAATTGTTGGTAAAACAAGTAAAAAAACATACCAAACGATTAAGGTGCTTAATTTCAGAAGTTTGCTTGGCACAGAAGTCCTCTAGTGCCATTTCCCTCCTAATGGCACCTACCAAAACCTTCTCCACTGCCTGAGCAAAAAAGAAACATGTAAATGCAAGCAGTCATGATGTTAAATTAATCCAAAATGCAGATGAAATCATTATACTTACTTTTGGAACTTGCTTCATGGACTTGTCCGCAGAGTGTGATTCAACAAAAGGTACCAACTGAAGATTTGAGCTCTCATTCCCCTCTTTGACATCTAGCTGCATTCTGTTCTTGCAATGGTTACATAAGAATATTTCTGTATCTTCTTTTGGCATCTCACCATTTTGAGAAGTTTGCACACCGATGTCAACTTTGGCAACGGGCAAAACTGGTTTAAAATCAGTGGGTCTTAATGAGAACCTGAAAGATGATCGCCTCAATCCTGAACTCCGGTGGTGGCTATCAATAATTTCAAGGCCACGATGGAGGCTAGCTGCCAAGTGCTCAGTTGTTGCAACAGAATTCCTTCTTGTTTGAGTGAAATGGACTTTTAAGAAAACATATCCACAGCGTCTAGCTCAGACTTCTTGTCATCATTCAGATCTTTCTGGGATGCGCTTAGCATTGATGACGTCCTCAGGCTTTTCCTGCTATTGTTAATTCTAGGTGAAACACTTGGAGTTGGAGACTGTTTCATTTTCTATATTCCTTGTATCTTGTTACAGATGTATATAACTTCCAGGATTATAGGGATCACATTGATATCCAGGAATATAGGGATCACATTGATCTTGTATCTTAATAAAGATTGATCACATACCTAGTTTAGAACACTGCAAGTGTATATATATATATATATGTATTCTTTGTCTTTATGAATGAAACGAGTAGAATATTCATCCTTAATACATGTTACATGGTATTAGAGCCAATAAAAGGTGATTAGGGTTTGGGTTTCAAATTGAGAACACCATTTTAGAGTGAGATTTGTTCGACACCGCCACCCTAGAAAGATTCAGAAGCCGCCGATCGGCAAAACCTCGAGTTCCGACAATTAAAATCTCCGCGCGTGAGCCCCACGTGCCACCCAAAGCTCCGATCAACAGTACCACGCGCTGGCGCATGAGCGCGCGTCCACTATTGATGTCTCCTCCGGTTCTCTTCGTCTGCTTCGTCGGCACTTGTATAGCACATTTTCGTGCTGGGCTTGGGTAATATCTAACTGGTTATTGTTGTTCTTCATTTGTTTATTGGACTTTTGTTGTGCTTTGGTCTCTGGTTGGTTGTGGCTATTGATTGATTTGGTGTGTCACTGAAGTTTGGTTAATTTGTTTTGTTTTAACTAGGGGTGTTCAAAAGAACCGGTTGGAACCGGAACCCGCGGGTACCTTGGGTTTGGTTCCGGTTCCTACCCAGAACCAGTCGTCAATGGGTAGGTTCCGGTTCCAAATTTTTGGAACAGGAACCAGAACCAGGAACCAGGAACCGAGACTAATATAAAATAAAATTAAAGATTAGGGGGGTTAATAAAAATTTTTGTAGAAAAAGTAATGTGAATACATTTATATTTATATTTCATAATATTTAAAGGAAGTTGGTTTGACTTTTTAGAATCTACCTTTACAAAGTAATGGAGTTTGTAATTTTGAATTTATAATTTATAATTTTATTTTTGTTAACAAGTGCCAGGTGGGGGGTATTTGTAAGTTTTTAAGGGTTTTTTTGCCATTTTAAAAACTTTTGGGGCGTCATGTAATTATACAGGGTACCCAGAACCGGAACCGTTGTTACAGGTTCTGGTTCTGGGTACCTAGGAACCGAAACCGTCGGTTCCGGTTCTGGTTCCAAATTTTAAGGAACCATCAGTTCCGGTTCCAGTTCTGGTTCCTTCAAAAAGTGCAGGGTACCCGAAACTGAACACCCTTAGTTTTAACCGTTTGTTGGTGTGCATTGGGATTATTGTTTGTTTAAGACATGTATGATACAAAGCCAGTGATGGAAATGATACCGACGATGTCGAAAATTACAGAACATAAGCTCATTGGTATAACTAATTACCATGATTGGTGTAAAACTGTTATACTGTATTTGCGGAGTATTGATAAAGATGATCATATGTGTAACAACTAACCGGGTGGTGGTCACAAAGCATCCACCCGTTTCTACTACTCATCGGGTAACGATCACAAAGCATCGACCCATCTCTAAGGGCTATTCGGGTGGTGATCACAAAGCATCAACCCGATTCCCATAACNTGAGAACCTGAATGATGATCGCCTCAATCCTGAACTCCGGTGGTGGCTATCAATAATTTCAAGGCCACGATGGAGGCTAGTTGCCAAGTGCTCAGTTGTTGCAACAAAATTTCTTCTTGTTTGAATGAAATGGACTTTTAAGAAAACATATCCACAGCATCTAGCTCAAACTTGTTGTCATCATTCAGATCTTTCTGGGATGCACTTAGCATTGATGATGTCCTCAGGCTTTTCCTGCTATTGTTAATTCTAGGTGAAAAACTTGGAGTTGGAGACTTAAGAACTGGAGATCCATCAGTTCGAACTATGCTGAGACAAGAAGGAGACACACAAATCACAGATCCATTTCCAGATTCACCATGCATATCCTCTCCTGAAATTTCTCTGGAAAAACTAGCCAAAGGATCAGAGATTGGGCATGAAGATCCATGTCTCACTGAATTCCTTAGTGATCCTTTGTCTGGCAATCCACTAACAGAAGAGTTGAGCCTTTTTCTCCTTGGGAGGCTGCATAGAGGAGTCCTGAACATGTGAATCAGCAATTAAACTATTTGAATTTCCTTCATCATTTTGTTCCTTGGTAGTATGATTTATGACAATACATTCATTAAAAACTGCCTTGTTCTTATTTGCCTTGGCACGCTGTGCAAATCTCAGTGTAGTCAATGTTTCACTCTTGCAACTGCATTATTGACTTATCTGAGCTTCCACAAATGGAGGAAAATAGAAAAATAGGGAGAGCAAGAGAAAAAAGGTTTCTTCTATTGACACAAAATCTGCAGTATTACCTCTGCCCAGGAGAAACAGCACAAATCATTGCTAATTTTGCATTGCCACCAAGAGATTCCTGCAATAAGAATGTCAACCTAGAGTCTCTTTAAGGAATATGCCTTTGCTTTCCTGTTTGAGAAACTTTAGCGAGAACATTTAAAAAATTCCTGCAAGTCCAATAATAAAGCTTAATGAGAGCAAGGCTAAAAGAATGTTTCTCGTTAATAAATCGTCCTTGACATGCTTATAGAAATGAAAAAAGAAGCATCAGAAGCTCCTCTTTTGCTAGTCACAAAAGTGATCATATGATAACAAATGACAAAAAGACAACTTACCAATAATCTGTATATAAATTTCTCTCCTCTATTTATAGCATGATCCTGTTATTCATGATCAAATTATATGCATTTCTACTCATTTTCTAATAGTTAATGCCTTTCTGAGCTCTTTAGACCCGAGTTTTTGAAATGAAAAGAACACTTAACATGATCAACAATACATATTAAAGTAAGTAGAATCATTAGTCATGATGTGTAATTTTAACAGTTTCACAAATTCTTGTAGCGTATTGTTGGTATGTTATCCATCATATAGTATATTGCTCAAATAGGTTTATACTTGGTTTCCCAGATCCTCATTTCTTTCATTAGAAAAATGATCCACAGTTAAATTATAACTAAGTCAAGCTCCTGTTATCTAATTTGTTCTCGTCAATTAGAAGCTACATCAGAATTCAGGGATAAGACTTTATCAATGCTCCTGTTATGTTATTTCTATTACTCTAAAGTAAGCAAAATCAAGTCACAATGTGTAAGATCAACAGTTTGTAAATTCTCATACCATCATTGTTGATATGTTGTGGTATCTTGTTTTATATGAAGTATTTCTCAAACGAGTTTTTCTTGCTTTCAAAGATCCCCATTTATTTGATTTACAAAAAAAAAAAAATAAAAAAAAAAAGATAAAATTTCTTAACTACATCAAGCAATGTTATCCACTTTGTTTTTGTCAAATAGAACTACCTCGAATTTAGGAGCAAGACCTTTAGTAGCATTGCCACTGCATATTATTGCCATTAAAATCCTTTTTCCTAAAAAAAGAAATAAAAAAAAAAGAGAGATTTTTAGGTAATCTGGCCTTTTAAAAATTCTATCATAAATAAAAATATTAGATTCTAGGTTTTTGTGTAGTAGAACTTAATCAACCCCAAACGATAGCTTGCTGTGAAAGAACTCTACCTTTGTGTCAGTAAAGAAATACATAAATTTGAGACAGAAAAAACAAATGTGGGTAAGTTGTCTAAACAAATATAAAATTTATAAAACTTGTTAAAATCTAGATTGTAATAGAGGTAATTTTTTCTTCTTGAAGGTAGCACAAATAGTTAGATAATGATAAAATACCCAAACAGTCAAAAGGAAGAAAAAAAGGCCTCAGAGAATGTGACAGACCTATACAGTTGAGGCAAACGTCATCATCTCAAGTTTTCATCAAAGCCTCCAATGAAAGATGCAAGAGCTTAGGATAGTGAGCAAAAAGAACATCAGCTCTGTCACTATTCATGGATTCGCATTGGAGGATGGATACTTTATACAAAACAAAAAGGATATCTCCACTAATTTCTTCACTGTACTTGGAGAAACAAATAGGTCTTAGCTTACAATAGCGTAAGATGCATTCAAGGTAAATCTTATTAACTTGGCAAATGAAGGCCTACAACAAGATTGGAGATGAGGGCATCTCTGTCTTTAATGAGGACATAGGAATTATTTGGTCGACTATTTAAGAGAACCCCAAAGCAGTGAAGCTGCACTTACAAAGACCACAAAATGAAGAGGATTAAAAAAAAAAAAATTGTGAAGTCTTCAAGAACATTACTAGAAGATGAAAACCTTGCTTTGAAAAAATAAGCAACTGCGTTTTTTTTTTAATTGCCATACAATTACTCTAAGCATTGCATCCTTGTATATTCCTAAGCTTAGACTACATGTAAAGATAACAAAGGTCGAACTGATGTACTCATGTGTCTTTAAACTTCTAAAGTTTATTTTCCTGAGGCCATTCAAAATATTTAATCAGCATAAAAAAACTATCATCATAAGTGCTTCCAGTATATAAGGCTTAAGAATTATGTTTATCTCAACTGTACATATTCTGCCAAACAGAAGATATAGAAATCACAGTATTTTAGAAAGTAGTTTTAGTACTCTCTACGTTGATTGGGAAGAAGGTTGAGTTCTGTATATGATTTAATTCATACCGTAAAGATTATATGACCAAATAAGCAACTAAAGCTTCTTCTCTCAAAGAAGAAAATCAAGTTTGACTGAATCAACCTATTCTACAACAAAACTAATTATGCTTTGCTAGCTAGCTGGAAAAATACAGCAAAATAAGAATTAATATACAGTAAATTATAGTTTCTGAATTTTCTCAGCAACCAAACACAAATTCATACGATAATGAACCAGTCACACAATCTAAGCAACAGTTGATGAAAATTATGAAAATGCAAATTATACAAATTAGTTACATAATCTAAAAACAAAATGACAATGTCATAAAAGAACATAAGACATTACCATAGAAAGCTGCCTCCGACTCCGGGACAAGGCGTCGGAAGAGAGTTTGTCGGCGATATGTGAGACAAACTCGACGAAAATATCAGCATCGCTTGAGGTGCATAGAGTGGTAATTACATTGATAATTTGGCACGCAATAGGTGTTTCTCAATTGTGTGAAAGCTAATTATTGTTTCAAGTAATGAGGAACATAATTTAAATGTACCTAGAATAAAAAAAAACTTTTAGATATATTTTTCAAACAATAATTCTTTTCTCTATAATTTTTAATTTAATGGAAATTGCATAAGTCTCAGTACATGTGAACAACATTAGCATGTTCCCATGACAATACAAATGATTTTAACAATACTTCACTTTTTCGATATTTCAAATTTCTTTTTATTTGATTTCTAAATTTCTAGTACCATGAAGTTCTTTAAATTCTAGTCTCATCACCAGGATAACACACTTGGTCAAAATTGACATTTTTTGTTCTATTAAACTATATAGTTGTACAGACGGTTTGAAAATGTAACGCCCCACTTGAGGTACGTAGTTAAGATTTGATGAATGGCTTGAATGTTTATTGATTTATCCTCATTTGAGTCAGTATGTTGTTAATATTTTTGGTTGACCCTTGGTTGAAAGGGTGTTTTGGTTTGGTTGAGTGGTTGCCCTGAAAATTTGTAAGACTTGGTGAAATCTTGATGTTACAGTCTTCGCCGGGGCGAAGAAGAAGCTTCGCCGTGGCGATGAAGTGCTACAACCCTTGTGTAGCTGCTGTGAGTTTTCGCCGGGGTGAAGAAATAGCTTCGCCGCGACGAAGACTCGGCTGAGATTTTCCCTTGAGATTTAGAGAATTCTTCCTTTTGGGACTCAATGACCATTCTACCCCTAATTAGCAGGAAAAGTAGGGAGTGAAATGCAAGAAAATTACATAGAGAATAGTTTGAATGGGGATGTTTTTGCAAAGAATGAAAAGTCTTAGGTGGAATTTCAAAGAAGGAGCAAGGGTATATTGGGAAAGAGTGGAGAAAATATGAGATATTAAGGGTTTAGCTTTAAAAACCCTTTCATTGATTCTTCTCCACCGCCTCTTTCATCCTTCAATTCTCTCAAACTTTCATGCAATTTTCCAAGGATCTTTGAAGAGCTTTTGACTAGAAATTGATACAAGTTGATCCTAAGCACTTAAAGGTGAGAATCCTTACTCTAGATGTGAATTTTTATTGTTGAAAGAGTAGGATCCTTATTGAGTGTAACAACTGCTGTAAACTAGTGAAATGCTTGCATAATAATAATAGGAAATGGGCCCAAAACTTTTTTTTTTATTATATGTAATAAGTCTTTTATACAGAAAGAGTATTATTTTACAAAATGCCATTTAAAAGACAAAAACAGGGGAAACAGTGTAGCTATTGCTCCTTGCTTGCTGATGCCCCTCCGACTGCATCATCACCTAGATCCTGCATCCACAAAGGAAAATGACGGGGTGAGCACAAAATAATGCTCAGTAAGTAAACTCTCTATCTGTCTATCCCCATAACAATTTTTCGTAATTCCTTCCTCACACTTTCTTTCTATTGTTTCCTATTAACGTTATGGCCTCATCTTACCGGAGGTACGGCCGGATGGCGTTCACACAACACCATCTCACTCTTCATGATTGTTGGGTGGAGTTCACACAGCACCAACCCGCTCTTAGTGACTACCGAGTGAGGATCACAAAGCATCTACCCAGTTTTCATAACTATCGGGTGGAGACCACAAAGCACCTACCCGTTTCTCATGACTTTTGGGTGACGATCACAAAGCATCAACCCGTTTCTAATAACTATCGGGTGATGATCACAAAGCATCAACCCATTTCTAATGGCTATTGGGTGACGATCACAAAGCATCAACTCGTTGCTACTAAATATCGGGTGACGATCACAAAGCATCAACCCGTTTCTACTAAATATCGGGTGATGATCACAAAGCATCAACCTGTTTCTAATGACTTTCTCTACTCTAGCACTTCTCATTCTCTCTACCCGTAGAGTAGTTGCATTTACAAAGTTCTCTACTCATAAAGAAAGTGCATACATAAAGTTTTCTACTCTTCTTATGTCACTACTCAATGCACAAATAATGCATATGGATGGTTCATCTCCACTAATGCACTTATGAAATGCCAACATGCAATGTTGCAAGAATTAAGGTTCACTACTCATACTTAAACCTCTACTAGGCATTTCATCAAACAACTCAAGTGCATAACAAGACTCTACTATAACAATAATTCTATGTCTTTCTCTAACCATCCAAAATGGGAGAAAACTCCCTCACATAGCAATAAAAATGTCATAGAATAACACTTCTTAAAAAGATTTGAATATCCTTCAATTCCATTCAAACTAAATTCCCAACCAACATCTTCACTTTCATAATCCAAAGTGTATGAATAACCATAAAGCACTAATTATCCCATTAAATCTTATAAACGTAGCATACACATGTAGTATAATACATACATAATTCCAATTGACTCTCTATTCAAGAAAGTGTTCCAAACTCTATGGGTGGGGTTTACTTACTTGTGATGGACAGATCTCATAGCTCTTCCTTCTTGGGTTTGCTGATTTTTCTACCTTTAAACAATTACACAATTCCACAAGAGACCCTCAATATTCAAATATACACTGAAAATCTCCACAAAACCTTCACCTCAAGCAAGTCTACCTAGGATGCCTTAGATGATGGGTTTTCGGTTGCCCCAAAGCACTCCCAAAAGCCCTCTAAAAACTCTTGAACAATTGGCAAGAGCCCGATTGAGAGGAAGTACAAAAGGAGAGTGGCGGGGAGCAGAAGGAGGCGAAGGTTTTGCACATGACTTCTATTCCCTTTTAACACAATTATGCAAAAGCTCCTATTTTTTACCGTACCTCCTTGGGAATGTCTTTATACCCTTTGATTATTACAAACACATCCCCATTTACATATTCTCCAAGCAAAATCCTTTCACATTTTACTCCCCCCAGTTTCTACTATTCGGGGGTAGCCTGGTCCAAGGCCTGTGGGCCAGCCAAATCATCTAACAACTTCCACCCACTTTTGGTCTCAGCCCGTCGCCCGCGGCGCCAACTGTCCGGCGCTTCCCCGGCTTCCCCATCTTCGTGTTGGTGCAGATTCTTCTTTGCCCCGGCCAGCTTGGACAAAACTCCCGTTTCTATTTCCCCCATTTCCCGGCCAAGTCAGTGCGACATCCCTCAATCAGGCCCACCCCCCAACATCCTACTATACCGCTCCATAGCACCCACAGCAACAGCCAACATTGGCTTCGTCGTCCAGTGGGGCGTTCCTTGAGTTTGTCATTGAAGGTTCCAGAGCCCAGTATCCGCCCCCCAAGTCAAAGCGCGTTGTGGCATTCTCTTGAGCATCAGGTAGTCAAATCCCCCTGAGTTGTGATTGCATGATTGAATGTGTGTAGAGATTTGTAGATAGAGTATGCCTTTTTTTTTTTTTTCTTT